AAAAAAAACTTTAGTTGTTTCGTAAGCATCGTACATGCTAAAAATTTATTTTACCCTTACTTCAATTTAAAATTAAAAATCAAGTTAATTAATTAAAAAATAATAATTGTATTTAGTTTCAGGCCTATATATTTATCTAATTTGCGTATCAATCCTACGAATACGATAATATCAAATCACAACCTTAAGATTTGTATTATTTCATATCATTTTATTTACGAATTGGAAATCTTGTTGTACTTCGGATTGTTCTTGTCCTCACCGTTCTTGTTCTTCACCATCTTCCCCTCATTGGAAATCTAATCGTCCCGTGGAGTTTAGACAGGCCACAGAAGATTCAGTTGAGGTAATCTTTGTTGAATCAAATGGGGATTTCGATTTCGGTCACCTGCCTGGAAATAATTCATGGGATTCTGATCAATTTCATGTACTTGTGCCGAATTTACCTGACCCTAAGTTCGATTTAGGGTTTGACAAACCTCCTTCTCCTCTCAACATGATACGATCTCATAACAATCTTATTATCTCAACATATGTTCGAACGATTCACGATGCATATGTAGAGGTTTCCATCGCACGCACGATTCATCTAGATGTTTTCCTGATTTGGAACTTTTTTTTGGTGATTTTGTGGTGCAATTCCCGATTCTTGGTGATTTTCGTGTTATGATAAAGGAGTTTTCTTATGCATCCTTGTATTTTAATGAGTGGTTATGAATATTGATTTTCGTGTCAGGGAAGTAGCGGTTTACTGTTCGAGCTATTATTTTGGTTTGGGTCGATCGCATAAATAGCCACCGAGCTATTATTCAGGATTAGGTCGAACAATCTCGTCTTCATCGGAATTATCACCGTGGAAAGGCACCAAATGTTTGACATGGAAGACGTCTAAGGTGCGGATGTGAGACGACAAACGAAGGCAGTTGGCATTAGGATTGAGTTTCTCCATAATATCTACTAAAACAACTCTTATTGAGTATGAAAATAACTTCCTATCGGAAGATTTGGCCGTCGGCAACTCGAGAAAATAGAGACAAGCGACTCAGCCTTTTGATGCGACTCAACCTTCATCCGATCAAAGGACTCAGCCAAATAGGATCGACGAAGAACAAGCGTGGCCCGACGTCCCCCATCACGTGTTCCTCGATCACATAGTCCTCGTCATAAAAAAAGAGGCTGACCCTCATATTTGATTGACCCCTCATCATCAAAAAGAGGTCGACCCTCATATTTGGTTGGCCCCTCGTCATAAAAAAATGCGGACCGTCGACCCCTCATCATAAAAAAGAGGTAGACCCTCATATTCGTTCAACCCCTTCTCATCCAAGAACACGTGGCTTCCAGGCCCAAAAAAATTTAGGAATCTCGACCCAGAATCATGACATCCAATGCCGATTATTGGTAAACCGGCCCTCGTCCCACACCGCCATCGCATCGAATGAATTTACATTGGAGACGGTGTCCTCAAGACCACCATCCCCGAAGAACGGCGGAGACGATCGAGAGCAAGATACGCTGCAAGTACCCCGATCGCGTCCACCGCGAACGCGGGCCTCTTTTTGGTGTCCTAGTGCCTTGATCATGGCGTCGCGCCTGTCGTCTGTGGCATCGTTCCGCTTCGGGAACATCGCTTAGGAATCGTACTGTTCTGCTAATACCAATTGATGTAGCGAAAGCGCAAACAATTGGGAGAATCAAGAGAAATCTCTCAATATATTTTTTTTCAATCAAAACTCAACTTCCCTTCAAATAATAAAATGAATGTCGTAAATAGAACTCCTAAGAAACATATGTTGTAGCAAAATATATTTTTACCGAGTACCGAATCGAAAGATTCGTTTCCCGGGTCGATCTCTCAAGGAAGGTTAGCCGGATATAATTGTTCGATTATTCAACCACAAAAGAAGATAAAAATCCTAAACACTCTATTTTCAATATCTGGGGTTTCAATTATCAACTACCAACTTTAAATTAAATAGAGCACGAAATGAACAGTAACGAATTAACTGAGAATTTAAAGAGCTAGGGAATCGGGGATAATTGTTTTCGGTTCTAACACAATCACCGGCATTCGACTGCTCGGTTAAAGGTCTTGAGTCGTTTCTCGTTCAGAGGTTCACTCTCAATAACTCTTCGTAACAAGAGAGTGAACGTTAACGAGTAACTATCAATTCCAACAACGCATAGATTATACGCTTCCGAACAAATCTATTCTAAACGAGCCTAATTCTACCAACGTCTCCCCTCTCGGTTCTACATGTTGATATCTAGGCTAGAAAGGTGATCAATCTCCTAACCCTATGGTTCACACAACTCGAATAGACATGAACAATCAAAAGCACTCAATTATAACGAACCTAATCAATCATCCCCTATCCCTAGCGAGTGGATTTAGCTACTCATATGGAATTCAACATTAACATTCACACAAACCCAAGCCATCATCATCAACAAAGAAATTGAGAAAAATAACTTACGATTTATATAGAGAATGCAATGTCAAATCCAATGAACAATCCAAATCCAAAGCGTAGAAAAGGAGTTTTTCAATCTCCAAAACCAATCAAAGTGCAAAAAGAAAGGAAAGGAATGAGTTTCTCCAGAGAAAAAGTGTAAAAACAAAGTTGGAATCGTGAATAATGAACCCTAGGGTCGAATTCTGCTCTAAAAATCCCGTCCTCGAAGTTCGCGCCCGGCAAAGTCGCGAGTCGCGACATACTCGCGAGTCGCGAGATGGACCTTTCCTTCGCTCGCGAGTCTCGCGACTCGCGACTTCCTGGCGAGTCGCGCGCCGTCAAAATATAAATTTCTGGGGTTGAGTCGCGACATCATCTCGCGAGTCGCGAGTTCTGCTCGACACTGCACCATAAGCCTCTGTTTTTTCCGCGGGTCGCGACATTCCTTTGAGTCGCGACTTGACTCCCGAGTCGCGAGACATCTCGCGAGTCGCGACTTTTTCTGGGCACAGTTTCTGTCCGCTTTTTCAGTCTTTCCTCGAGTTTTCTGGGCTCGGTAACGGATGTTCTTGATATCACAGTCTCGGCTCACGCAATTCTAACCTCGACCGGCACAACCTACCTCCTGGAAACACAACACAGAAAAAACACGAAGCAAAACACGGCAAAAAGATACAAAAATATAAACTAAAGACAAAAATACAAAACGAACGAAATGGACCAAATAAACTACAAAAATCCTACAAATAGGGGAAAACGAAAAGAAAATAAGCATGAAATAAAGACACAAAAATGGGACAAACAACATACTTAACATAAACTTAAGACTCCTAAGAAATTCCTAGTTAAATAATTTTTCTACTAAGTAAAAGAATAAAATATAAAATAATTAAATAACTTCCCTACCAAGTACAATACTATAATAATTAACTTTCCTATAATTAAATATATTTTCTACTAAATCTAGAACTAATAATAATAAAATAAAATGAATAAATTTAATAAATCAATGATGTCAAACGATCATGCTTGTCCAAAAAGGCCAACGCAATCTCGTCTCCATCATATTTATCAATAAATATACATTTTTATATGAAAAAATATCGTACTTTATTTATATTATTTTTATAATTCTCCACTTGTGCATGAAAGTAGGGGTGAGCAAAATCGAGCCAAATCGAGCCAAATCGTGCAATTCACGATTTGGTTCGTGTTTTATATCAAATTTTTTGATTTGTTTTTTTTTCCTACATTGCAATGCAGTGCACCTATAGTTTTTTTTAAGTTCNTAAGTTAAACCGTGCATTTTAGTGCATTAAAGTTCGGTTATTTTATTTAAAAACTAAATCTGTTCGGTTTCAATTCAGTAGTTTTTCTAAGTTGTGATGCGGTTCGATGATTTTTTTTTTCTAGACTCAGTTTTTCAATTAATTTTTTGCAGTTCGGTGCTGTTTTCGAACCACACTGTTGCTCAACCTTACATAAATATATACTTGCATGATGGAAAAAATATGATTATTAACATTGATGTTGAAGTGGTTACTTTTTCTTTCTAATTCATTAGTGATTTTTAAATTAAAAAATTGCGTGTAACCATTGTTTCATAATGATGAATCGTTTTACATAATTAATGGCTTTAGGAAAAAGTTAGGTATGTTGTTATTTAATAAAACCTACATGATAAGTATCATAAGTTAGGTGAAGATTAATCGACAAGGAATGCTTTATTGCTGTCGTTTATTATTATTATTATTATTATTATTGTTTTAATTTAATAAGACGGTTTGGTAGGATAAGAACAATCACATAATACTACGAATATATCATGCAAACAAGTTTTTATATAAGTCAGATATACAGTGAGACGAGTCAATCTATTATACTTTATGAACAAAAGTTTATATTTATATTGAAAATTATCATATTTTTGTTTATATTATTTTTTAATGTCTACCATTTATATTTTTGCATATCTATTTTAAATGTATAATTGTTTCGGTAGGTCGAACAATAACTCCACTGTATTTCAAGCATGATTGAAAATTAAACCATATTCACATTAGCATTATTATTATAATAATTATTAGTTCAATTGAATATTATAATAAATTATAATTCGGTGTTATTTGAGTCGAACTCGTTTATGAAATAAGTTGAACCAAACTTTTTAACGAATATTTTCTTTTTACTTCATTAAGTTAAACGAATTAAGTCAGTTCAGTTCGTTTGGTAAACGAGCACAAAGTCGAATAGATACTACTCGGATTTAGTTTCGATAACGCCTCTATTATCAAGTGTCTTGTAAGGAATTATAAACAAAAATTAAAAAAGAAAAAAAAAATTGATTTTTTCCTTTACTTTGTTTATTTTTTTAAACTAAGATCAAACAATCAGATGAAAATGAGNACTTTTTAGGAAAGATTAAATATTTGAATTAGTTTTTCTATTATTCAAGGAGCATATTGCTTAATAATTGTGGTAGCAAAATGAAATAACCCCAAAAAATAGAATTGCCTAATTTATTACAGAACACTCTGCACTTTCCTCGTTGGGCTATTTTATTTCTTGACACCTCTCTCTAAAACTGGAAAAAGGCCTTCAAAATCTCCGAAAATTCGAAAACCAGATCTATCTTCCTCCTTCCCTCAGCTTAATTTCTGCCGTTCTCTGTGAAACGGCTAATCGAATTGATCTCCGCCGCCAGAAACCCGCTTTGCCTCCGTTGGGTCAGTTATCAGGCGAATACCAGCGATCCCCTGTAAAATGAGTAACGGCGAGCTCCTCCAAATTGACCCGCTCGAGCTCCAATTCCCATGTATGTGACAATTCGTTTTTTTATTTTTATTTTTTTTCTTTGGGTGTGTGAGTGTGTTGGAATTTTTCATCCAATGGTTGCCAACAGAAGATTCTGCTGTTCAATTCAATTTCGTTCTCTTAGATCCGTGCTTGGGTTTTTTTCCCCGATTCTGATGCTTATTTATGATATCGTTCTGGTGATTTTGTTCTGTGGTAGTCGAATTGAAGAAGCAGATCTCGTGTTCCATGCAATTAACCAACAAGTCCAATAATCATGTTGCGTTCAAGGTAGCTTTGACATATTTACATTTCCTGAGTTGCCTTTTTCATTCTTTTTTTTGGGAATTTACCAAACCCAAATAAATAAGAATCATCCTTGAGGTTAAATGGCTGATCATTTTATGCTTTCTTGTTTTTCCAAATTCCATATTTAGGTTAAGACTACAAATCCCAAGAAGTATTGTGTGAGGCCGAACACAGGAGTGGTGATGCCTCACTCTACCTGTGACGTTATAGGTCTCTCTCTCTCTCTCTCTCTCTCTCTGTGTGATATGCATGGACTCTGGATGTAAATTTCAGTTGATGTTTGTCAATTTCATTATAAACCCTGAAAAGCGCTGAATTATATAAGTTTTCAGTTATTGAGTGCATATGCATTTGCTGAATTTATTTAGTTGTATGTTTGACAGTCACTATGCAAGCCCAAAAGGAGGCTCCACCAGACATGCAATGCAGGGATAAATTTCTCCTTCAGAGCGTTGTGGTGAGCCCGGGAGTTACCACAAAAGACATTACACCTGAAATGGTAAGTTTTTATGATGCCTGTTGCAGTATTCGTTATCAAATTGGATATTTTGGGCGGCAATTTTTCACTCGAAGCTGGTAAATCACATTACCTGTGTTCTAGTTCAACAAAGAGTCCGGGAATCAAGTGGATGAGTGTAAGCTGAAAGTTTCCTATGTCTCGCCTCCTCAACCACCTTCTCCAGTTCGAGAAGGTTCGGAGGAAGGTTCTTCACCTAGGGCCTCGGTATCTGAAAATGGGCATGTGAATCAAGCCTCTGAATATAACTCGGTTAGAGTTTGACTCTTGATTGTAAAGGATTATGTTTCGTTATTGCCTTTTTTCTTACCATTTGTTCTCTTTTATGGCTTTGTAGACGTCAAAAGCATTTGTTGAACCAAAGGAGAGCTCATTGGAGGTTTGTGTCCTTGTGTTTTTCATTCTTTTTTTTTTTTATTTATTATTATTATTTTTTTAAATATAGTTTTCTCATCACAAGTTTGTCCGTGGTTCTTGTGTTTTTTTTTTTTCATTTATTTCTTACGTGCGTGAGCTGGCTTTAATTGGCATGACCAATTGCTGCCAGTTGTTATTTCATGGGCATTTGAGGTGTGTGAAGTATTTGGAGCTTAGGAGCTATGTCAAATTTTACTAGGTTACAGTTTTGTTCCGACGTTGGTGATGTTATGGCTTTCGGGACCATTTCTGATAATTAGTGTTCGGTTTCCCATTTCAATTGCAGGCTAAGGCGCTGATTGCAAAGCTCACTGAGGAGAAATATTCTTTTATTAGGCAGAATCAGAAACTTGAGAATGAACTGGTAATTACTTGTTGTTTGCTTACAATCCTTGATTTTTTTTTTTCTGTGGGTCACTTCTTCCATATTACTTTCTGACTGCAATCCACAGATTATAAGAGTGAAAAAGTTTGAAGGGATGGAAAATTGTTCCATTAATTTTTTGCTAATAAGCATATATCTTGATCTTGATGATGGATATTTAAACTTGTAATGTGGGTTGAGTCGGTGGAATCATCTGCTAGATTAGCCACTTTATTTTCCTAATTTCGTTTATGGCGTGTAGGAGCTTTTGAGACGTAAAAGCAATAGTGGTGGGATCCCATTTACGTACATAATCATTGTTGGCTTGGTTGGAATTCTGTTGGGCTACCTTCTGAAGAGAACGTGATTGGTTTGAATCTCGGCCCTTGCCTTCGCATTTAGATACCTCAGTTTGTCTGCTTTGTTCGGAATTATTTAGGACATTTATTCTTTTACATTTGTTTTAACTGTGTGTTTGTTGTGCCATTGAAGTATAATATGCCTAAATGGTTTTGATTGGTTACTGTAACTGCTCGATGTGCATTTGTTTGTGTGGCTAGCCTTTTACATTTTTTGTTCTTTTGCTTCAATATGTAAAACCTGTATTTCCATTTTTTGCACATTACGAACTTTATTGACTAGCTTTTATAATGTTTCGTTTAGAGAATGGAACATGCATGAAGTGGTCAGATGCCATATTTTTTTTTGGGGGGGAGTTATTGTTGTTGATTGTTTTGGAATTCCATTTCTACTAAGGAATTGCATTTGTAATGCGTGTAGAGATCATTTTGTTTGTAGAACTGTTTGAATCTTGACCGGGTTCGCCAACATCAGTTTTGCTATGGAGCCATCGGATGGCTCGGCTTATGGAGTCATCAACACTTATTCACCAATAGTGTATTGACACGTGTCCTGCAATAAATACACTTTGGATATGTGTCAATACATTAAGTGGTGGATGGCTCCATATGAAAACCATCTGATGGCTCCATAGAATTTTTGTCGTCAACATTTTGTTGTAAACAGGACTGTGCTAGCATGTTTGGTGCTAATTGTGGGTTTTATGTATTTTTTTCCCCTTCTCAATTAATTTTGTTAATACTCTTCAACAAATCGCCTCACTTTATTTATTCCACCTCTATTATAACAATTTCTCACATTGATTTTAACATCCACCAAATAGGTGAATGCAGATTTCCTAATTTTTTTCCTTTATGCCTTTAGTATGAAAGTCAGAAACGTTGCCCTAATTTCTTCCTTCACGCCTTTCTGTATCAAAGTCATTAAAGGTTGGTAGTCTAGAGTAACCATAAATGCATAATATGAATTTAGTGGTTGAATAATTTTCTAAACAATTAAAATGTATTATTTGAACAGTTCAAGTATTTTACTTACATTTTTAAGTAAATATGTATATATACATACCCTCAAATTTTAGAAATAAATATACTGTGTAAGTCTCATATTAATGTAAAAATAATTGAAGAATATATGTATTTATACAAAATATATCCATATTGTATAATAAAAAAATCAACTTTTGTATCATTCAAACAAAAATCATATACAGGAGAAACGCCAGCGCTTGTGAGCTAGTACTTCTCTTGATCTATGCCTTGTAGGAAAGACTACTCCTATGCTATGGTTCCTTGCTTCTGCAATTGGTTTGGCTGGAGATATGGCATGGCAGGGAATAGCCTGTTGAACTGCCTGGACTGAAACTCGCTAAAAGAGAGCTCGTCTGGACTGATCGTATAGACCGCCCCAATGGAACAGTGCCCATGGGTAGGATCGAATCTACGAGTAGCAGCACTACTAAATAGGATCGAATCTACGAGTAGCAGCACTACTGAAATTGCAAGAGATCATAATAAAAATAGAGTTTTTTTATTGTATTGAGGTTTGAAAGCGCTTCATGCAGCTTGAAAGTTGTTTGGGTGATTTTGTACTCTTCTAAGTGTACCGTTATAAAGAAAATAGGCACTTGATACATGATACAGATAGTGGGCAGACCTTAACCTATACAAAATCCATGCTCAGGAGTTGAACAGTCACAGACACAACTGCAGTTTCTATCACGGGTTAATTACGAAAAGAGTGTTAATAATTACCGCACCCATTTTTACTATTTACCGCACCCTTAAAATACAGTTTTGCCCTTATTAAAAAATAATAATAAAAAATTCAATTTTTAAATTTTTTTTTAAATATGGCCAAAAAATATATTATCTTATAAATTGATAAATGTGGCCAATCATATGAATGTTATAACACAAAATTCGAAAAAAAAAATCATAAAATTCGAACAAAATTAAAAAAAAAAAAAAAACTAGAAAAATTCGAAAAATTCGAGAAAAATTCAAAAAAATCCGAAAAAATGTCGGGACAATCCTCACGCACTGGGAAAGGACACTCGAATTCACAGGTATNNNCTTTATTTATTTTTTTTTTTCGCGATTTTTTTTAATTAATTAAATAATTAGTGATAAAATTATTTTATATTTTTTGTAATTAATAAAAAAAATTATAATTAATATATAATTGGAATTAGTGTAATTATTGTATATATTAATAGTAATTACTAATATAATTTTATAACAAATAAATGGTCTTAATGAAAAGATAAATAGACTGATAGAAGTTTTAAATAAAAAAGAAGTAATATTGACAGAAACTAAAAAAGAAAAAATAAATATTGATATTTCAAACATCAAACCTCCACCAGAAATAAAAGATTTTAAATTACAATCTATGGCTGAATTAGAAAAATTATTAAATAATAAATTTAGTGAACTGAGTATAAAAACTCTTGAAGAAAAGTTAAAATTAAAATTAATAGAAAATGAGAATAGAGAAGAAGTTTATAGTGATCATATAAACAAAATATCTAGATGGGCAGATAAACCTACAATGAATAAATATTATTATAAACGTCCTACTCCTGTTGATATTATACATGAAGAAAATGATAATATCATTAATAATAGTTTTAGTGGTGATAGAATATATGAATGGAATATAGATACTTTAGTTCAAGGACAAATTACTACCATGATACATAGAATGTTAATGTATGCTACTATTTGTAAAAATAGTGGTAATAATGATAAAAATATAGCTAGTATGATAATTGCTGGTTTTACTGGACAATTAAAAGGTTGGTGGGATAATTATCTTACCAATGAGGATAAAAATGTTATACTAAATAATGTAAAAATAGAAAATAATCAACATGTAGAAAATGCAGTTTATACACTTGCTATGAACATAATAGAACATTTTTCAGGAAAATTCACAGATAATAGTGAAAAAACTAGAACTTTATTGCAAAACCTCAGATGTAAAACATTAACTGAATTTAGATGGTACAAAGATATTTTTTTAACCAGAGTAATGGAATTACCAGAATGTAATAGTTCACACTGGAAATCTAAATTTATAGATGGATTACCTAATTTATTTGCAGAAAGAATTAGAAGAATTCTTAGACAGGACTATATTTCTGTTCCCTATGACAATTATACTTATGGACAATTAATTGGTATATGTGTACAAGAGGGATTAAATCTCTGCAGTGAAATAAAACTTAATCAACAAATTAAAAGACAGAATCTTGATGAAAGAAAACAATTAGGAGAATTCTGTGAACAATTTGGAATGGAAAATTTATATTCTAAAGGAAAAAATAAAAAGATATATAAATCTAAAAATAAACATAAAAGAACTCCTAAATATTTTCTTAAAAAAGAAAAGAGAAGAAAAGAATATCTTGATAAGAAAAAATTTAGAAGAAAAGAATTTCAAAAAGATAAAATAAAAATCTGTAAAAAATGTGGAAAATATGGACACCTAGCAAAAACTTGTTGGGTAAAAAAGAAGATTAATAATCTTGAAATACCAGAAGATGTAAAAGATAAAATTTTTAAAATAGTTTTAAATTCTGAAACAGAATCAGAATCTTCAATTGAATTATCTTCTGAAGAAGATAGTATAAAAATTTTAGAAAATGAAAATATAAATGATAATACTTCTGAATCTTATGAATCAGAATCTGAGAAAAATGAAACATGTTGTTCTAAACCTGATTGTAAATTAAATAATGAAGAATTTTATAAGATAATGTCACAATTTACAGATCATAATATAAATATGTTAAATACAAAAAATATAACAGAATTTTTTAAAAAAATTAAAGATCCAGATTTAAAATTAAAATTAATTGATGAATTAGAATTAATTAATGAATTAAATATAAATGATAAAATAAAAGAAGAAAAAAAAGATTTATATCATCCTCAAAATTCTCAAAAACCTTATAGTATATCAGAAATAATAAAGGAATTAAAAAATAAAAATAAAATAGAAAAAATTTCTGTTGAAGACCTTAAAAAAGAGATTGATAATCTTAAAGAAGAAATTAAAAAAATAAAAAATACAAATTATAATCATGAAAATAGATTAATAAATATAGAAGAGAATATTCCTTCTAGTTCTAATAAAATAGAAAATATATTTGAAAATGATGGTTATCAAGAAAATTTCTTACAAACCTTAGAGATGATAATTTCTCAAAAATGGATGACTAAAATAACTCTTTTAATAGATAATTATTATTCAAAATCATTTAATGCTCTCATTGATAGTGGTGCTGATTTGAATGTGATACAGGAAGGATTAATTCCTACAAAATATTTTAAGAAAACTGCTCATAATTTATGGCATGCAGGAGGAGAAAAACTCAAAATAAATTATAAAATTCCAAAAGCTTTTATTTGTATAAATAATGTTTGCATTTCAAACAGTTTTATGTTAGCAAAAGACATTTCAAACCAAGTTATACTTGGAACTCCGTTTTTAAATAAAATATATCCAATAGAAAGGATTGATGAAAAAGGAATTTTAGCAAATTATATGGGAAAAAGTATTTTTATAGAATTTATAATAGAACCTTTTACAAAAATATTGAATAATATTTATGATGAAATCTCAGCAAAACAAAATCAAGTGCATTTTCTTAAACAAGAAATAAATATGATCAATATAGAAGATCAAATAAATAGTCATAAAATTCAAGAAAAAATTTCTTTAATAAAATCAAGATTTTCTTTAGAAATCTGTAATGATCATCCAAATGCATTTTGGGATAGAAAGAAACATGTAATTTCCCTTCCTTATGAAGAAGATTTTAAAGAAGAAAATATTCCTACAAAGGCTAGACCGTGTCAAATGAATACTGAATATTTAGAATTATGCAAAAAAGAAATAGATTCTTTATTAGAAAAAAGATTAATAAGTCCTACACAATCTGCATGGTCTTGTACTGCTTTTTATGTTAATAAACATTCTGAAATTGAAAGAGGTATACCTAGATTGGTAATAAATTATAAACCTCTTAATAAAGTTTTAAAATGGATTAGACATCCAATTCCTAATAAAAAAGATTTATTAGATAGATTATATGATGGGATAATATTTTCCAAATTTGATTTAAAGTCAGGATATTGGCAAATACAGATAAATAAATCTGATAGATATAAGACAGCTTTTAATGTTCCTATTGGACATTATGAGTGGAATGTTATGCCTTTTGGATTAAAAAATGCCCCTTCTGAATTTCAAAAAATTATGAATGATATTTTTACTCCTTATAGTGAGTTTATAATTGTTTATATTGATGATATTTTAGTTTTTTCAAAAACTTTAGAATTACATTTTAAACATTTAGAGATTTTTAAAAAACTTATTATTCAAAATGGATTGGTAATCTCTAAACCCAAAATGGTTTTATTCCAAACAAAAATCAGATTTTTAGGACATAATATTGAAAAAGGAAAAATCATTCCTATAAATAGAAGTATAGAATTTGCAGAAAAATTTCCAGATGAA